GCTTAGCTTAGTCCGCCCTTGAGCACGGCCTGCATGTTGACACCGAGCAAAAGAAGGGTCTCCGGCGGCTAACGTTACGCTCACCTAGGTAGCTAGGCGAGCATCTAACCTAGACAGCTGACACGTTACGCTCGCTAGTCAGGGCGATGCTCTCGCTCGCTAGGCTAGATAGACGCTATCTAAATCAAAGAGGCAGCCGAGATTGTACCTGGCCGGACTATCTCAACGGACTCCCTATCCCAAGAGGATCGGCAGAGCATCCCGCGTCCCCTGCCGAGATATGGAACCATGTGAGACATACTTGCATCGATGTATGCATGGCAAATACCCAACTGAGACAACCCAGCCAGTCTCAAATTTTTATGAGATCATACAGGGCAGGTTATCGTCTCCACGTTGGCAGAAATATCTAGTTACGTCTCTTCTATTCCATCAGCATTGTCTCAAACCACCCGGCTCCAGATCTCGTATAGCCTCTACCGTATCTCGAGTGCATGATAGCCCTACGATTCCTTTAGCAGCCATAGAAAGGCACCAGATTTACCCATGGGCCATGGGGAGGCATACAACTAGTGTCTCCATCCTAAATATCTCAGTAGATTCAAACAGAGCCTATAATTAGATACTAAAATTTATAGCCAGCGCTAAATCTTCGCGTACGAGAACCACCACACATCTAGACGTCTATATCCATGAACAAACCAATGAAGTAGTAAAAACGAGCAAAGAAATAAATCGGGAAGGAATAACGAAGTAGGTGTCGCAAACCCCTAGTATCACTTTGCAACGGAGGGAAAACGACGCCGTTAATCCGCTGTATTGATTAGCAAGCAGATATTGTACGCGGCACCTTTATAACGTAATCTCTCTGACCCCATGTTCCGCCTCCCTGCGCATTCGTAGCTACCTACCTCTTCCCTGCTTCGGTCATAAATTCCGAAGACACATGTTGAAAAGCACATGTTAGTCAAACCAACCACAACATCATCACAGAACAGACTTTTACAAAACTCCAAGTCGAAAAATCAACAAGTGGTGAGTGAATACATTGCTAAGTACATACCCACTCTCTATCTACCCCTAGCCATCACCATATATCCATACCCCAAGCCCTCTATCGCTTTCCAATCCCTACACCCCAGCCATAGTCGTGTCCCCCCCATCCGCAGTAGTCGACCGCATAGACCACGCCATGACGCCCCAGAGCAACCTCATAGCCTCGAGGCGCTGCGCGACCACGAACAGGTCGAACCAGGAACTCCGCCAGACCTCGAGCTCGCCCCAGCTCTGGCCCTCGCCCTCCTCGGCGCCGTCGAGGACCTCGAGCAGCCGGTTGGGCACGCGCACGCGCAGCACGGACAGGTGGTGGAAGAGGCTGCTGACGACGAAGACGTCGTCGAAGCCGGCGCCGCGGACGCGGCCGATGGCCTCGTAGCGCGCCTTCTTGTCCCAGTTCGACGACGGCAGCCGCACCATGCGGTAGCGGTCGTACACGCTGAGCGTCTTGCGCGGCTTCTTGTTCAGCGGCGCGCCGCGGACCGGGATCCCGCGCGGGGGGCCCGGCTCTGGCGCCGCCGCAGTGGCGGCAGAAGGTCGGGAGGTGGCGGAGGCCGGGCCGTCAGAGGAGGATGAGGCGCTGCCTTCGCCGTTCTCCGCGCCGAAGGCGTCCTTGTCGCCGACGATGCCGTCGCCCTCGATCTCGCGACCGATGGGGCCCCCCTCGGCGCCGCCCCAGCGCTTGGCCGTGGCCCACCATTGGCCCTCGCCGACGCGTTTCTCCGTCTTGCCCTCGCGGGCGCGCAGCTGGGCCGTCACGAGGGCGGCGATGAGCTCGCGGCCGAGGTCGATGTACGAGTCGGTAGGCTTGGTGAAGTTGGTTGTGTTGCGGGCCGACACGGCGGCTATGGGCCCCTCGACGACGCCGGCGCGCGCGGCCTCGCGCGTTGTGGGGGTGCGATAGACGAACACGCAGCCCGAGGAGAAATAGGACATGCGCCGGGCGGCGGGGCCGTATTGCCGCTTCGTTTCGGCCGACGGCGGCTCGACTAGGTGTAGCCGCGGTTCGACCCTCGGCGGCGCGATGTTGCAACCAAAATCATAAGAGACGAGCTTCACGAAAGAAGACACTAGATTGTGGCGAAGCTCCGCCGGCATTTGCGAGCCTGGAGCGGTTCGGTACGTTGTTCTCAGGGGTATGCTCGTCGTCTCGGGATCTTGCCCCTCGTCTACGTCATCTTCCGATAACGGTGGTAACGAGGTGTCATCCCAGTACGTAGCCATAAACTCCATTTGCCTGAAGAACTCGTAGCAATTCCCTAAGCGAACAGCCGGTTTCCCGGGTTCTGGCTTCATGCGGCGGACTATCCGAAAGGCCGCCTGATTCGCAATGGAAAGCTCTTCTCGCCTCTCTATAAAGATGCGAGACTCGGGCGACAGTCTCCCGTTAGACAACGGCCTTCGAAAAGTCTGGTCTTTCCGTCTTGCTTCGTCTAGGTCGATACCATCCCACCCAGAGGCAGAGGGTAGATATGATGGGTCAGGGACGACATGCTCAGCGGGCGCATCAGCATGTATACGGACCCCAAGAGCAGCGAAGTGAGACTCGTTCACCTCGGCCGGGCGGTGGAGGGTCTGCAGAAAGCGCACAATTGAAGGCTGGACCCGTTCACCAGGAGAGCCAGCATCGCTCAGCAACTGCGGGTTGCACTGCGGCAAGCTTAGAGGTGTGGGTGGCGGCACATCCTTAGGTGGTGGGCCAGTGGTAGGTGGTGGAACTAGAAGACGGTTATGATTCTGCGCAACAATTTTTCATGCGGGTAGATTATGGAGGTACGAAAGCCGTAAGTGTGTTGGTTATATGAGAGGGCAATGATAAAGCATAGGGGAGGCAGATGGATGTAGGGTCATCCTAGATACCTAGAGACAACAGCAATATAGAATAACTATAAACGATAGACCTTCGCCGAAAAGAATACCTAACCCATATATCTCCTTAGAAGGCATTTACTTGAGTTACCTATATAAGGGTAGGTAGACAGGTAGGTAGGTAGGATTGTAGATTTCGCTCTCCGAACCAACAGTACATCTCTATACCCTGTATCGCCATGACGGCGTGTCTATGCAGTTGGATTGTAGTGTATCGTATTGTGTTTTGTACGTAGGGTGGGCCGTAGCCAATGAATCGGATTGTTCCGAAGTATCAATCGGATAGATAGAAAATTGGACGACGAGCGGCAAATTGGATGAGTGGGCGAGTGGATGAATGATAAAATGAGTGACTTACTCAAGCTGGCAAAGGCACCAAACATGACGACGGCGGTGACGATAGTGATGATGATGATAATGAGTCGTCTACGTCTAGATAGTCCAAATAAGCATTGGATCAGCTCACGTGCTAAGGCCCGGCTTTTTTCTATCTTTTTTTGTTTGCTTGTTTGTTGCGAAAACCCAAAGCTTATCGTAGACACAGCTCAATGCGACCCCATCTAGCAACGGTTCCCGCGTCTCGAGGCAAGGCCACCCACACGCACAAGAGACGATGACTACAGGCAGTCATAAGCAAGACCAGAACCAAGTGCCACAACCCGCCCCAAGATAATTAGTCGAACTGGTAGGTTATAACGTACACTAGGTTGGCGAGGTGGATAGCAGGTAGCGAGTTACAACGATTTCCTAAATGGGAATAAAGACGGTGTGATGTTTAAATTGAGAGATCCCGAGAGCTGGGAATATGGGGACACTGGAATCTAGGAATCTGGGAATCGGGGAGTTGGCGGCTCTTGGGACGCGCCCACCAAGCAGGCTAAGCTAGCTTGGTAGCTTGGTAGCTCGTTGGCAGCCACGGCCCGCTACTGCCGTCGCATTCTAACTGGGTCCCTGGGTCCCCAGGTCGGCGCCAGGTCGGGGGGTTTACTGCTCTGGATAGAGCATACTTAGGCGGTCTTACTGCCATACTGCTACCGGCGTGTGCTCTGCCGCTAATAACGCTATATCATTTATCATTTTCCCTCCCGAGCTTCTCTTTTCCAAAGTAAAAAAAAATTAAAAATTTTTTAAAAAAATCCCGACATCACCCCGGCATATTGATGATATACCTACGTGTAATATGTAAGATGCACTAATCAACTGCTTACTATTGTACTTTTGTTTTGGATTTGTTGGGTCTTAGGGTTTGTGCCTTTTTCTTCTTGACATGCAAGGGGAAATGCATACCGCTTTTCTACCTCTCTAAGTTCCAATATTATTCATTGCCTTCTTTTTACTTACCTACTTGCTCCCAACCTTAGGTATATATGAATGAGTGATGCTCGGTGGGGTACTTATCTACCTGTGCCTCACCGAGTGGCTGACAGCCTATAGGAAATTCGGTCGTGGCCGCGTCAGGTTTAGTACCTTGCACACACATAAGCTTAAAAAGGAGGTTGAAAAGGCCACACGTTTTGAGTCGAGGTAAAGCCCATACATATTTGATTACTTTTTAAGTAGATGCCCTCATAAATATAGCAATAGAGGAGTCATATAGCTAATAACTAAACCTGGTTCCTTATAAAGGTTCTAGATTATAATTGTCGAATTCCTAAGCTTAATGGTATCGCTCTATCTATGTAGGTATGAATGGATAGATTTAGTGTATAAGTGTGTGAGTAGCTGCTCAATGGGAGACCGGTGTTAGTTCCACCTCCTTTGTAAATATGACATGTCCGTAGTGATCTTGATCACATTTATAGATAGTATATCTTATGTCTTCAATAAATGTGTATACTACTTATTTGAGCACCCAATAAATATCTTCTAGTGGCTTTCTAATAATAAGCATATTAGCCTGGTAAGGATGCTAAGTTGTGTAAAAGTGACAAGAAAATGACAAAGGATAAGCAGTGTGAGACTAGAAAGAGGATGCCAAGATTTCTCTACTATTATCTCAGCTCTTCGTTAGTTGGTTCGAAAACGAAATATCTATATGTATATGTAGATATTAATAACAAGTGTAAAAAGAGAGTTGCGGTGAGTGTGGATCGAACACACGGCCTTCAGATTTGATGAATGAAGTATTACTTCAGTCTTGGGCATGTTAGTTACCTACCTAGTGCATTAATGATAAGGAGACCAGGTGTGAATTTACCTGACGTTCTCCCAACTGAACTATCCCCGCTGGATGAGTTTTCCGGTGCGTACAAACTAATATGTGTAGACCGGCGTTTATTCTAAGCCATCCCCGCCTGGGTGGATGAAAGTAGCACAATTATGTTAGATAGTTGTGGCTTCATGGAGGGTTTACATAGGTATTTGACGCTGGTCACGTGATATACGGGCCTCTTAGATACCCCACCTAAGTACACACACAGAGCGAGTAAATTCCAACAGCGGCTCATAATAATCGCTTCCCCATACCTACCAACTTAGATTGGTGCTATCCATCTTGATGCGTGTTTCTTGAGCTTCCTCCACATCATGTTGATTATCAATATATCTGTGATGGTAATTTCTTGACATCCCTGCTCAGCAGCATGCAGAAACCAGGTATAACATACGGTAAGTACCCTGTTAGAACATAACGATCTATTTGATTGAACTGCCAACGTTTGATGCTCTTGTGGGGTCATCGATCAAACATATGGCATGGTCGGTAGTCTACGGCAAGAAAATAGACCCCCTTTATTGATCGGAAAGACCCCGCATCCGAGACAACAAGCATACTTACCTACTAGATACTATCTAGTACACATAGTAGCGCTCACTCTACACTATGCGCTGTACTTTGGTCCTTGCGGGCTCGGTTAGAAATTCTCATTCCAATCCCGCTCTTCACGTCAATCCGCCTCCCAAGTGTTAACTTTATTGTAAGTTCCATCTCTGTCTACTTGATTTCTTGTTTCCGTCGTGGTGAGTGGGCGAGTGTAAAGTGTTGAAGACCTAAGTGACAATCATCATCTTTCGGATCTGGATATGCCTTACTACTCTTGCTTTCTGCATAGTCATGAAACAACCGGATTGACACGGCCGTACTCAAAACACATCTTCGAGGTGGTCATCGCCGCCACCGGACCCGGTGTAGCGGTGCACTTCATACAGTATAGATTATTGGTGCAACAGGACAACGAACCATGCGCCTAAATTACAACGGTATCTGACATCTAGATACCCAGCAAGGTATCGCTCGCGCTCTACGTAGGTAGGTATATCAATGGCATGGCAAACCAGAGCGCCACGTGCACGAACATGATAGACTACTCAGTACTCTGTATACTGACCTGATTAGTATCGCGCCAATTTTGAGACGATCAGGGTTCAGTACTATGTAAATTACCTCCTCATCGGGGAAGAATTTGCCTCTTCGCTTCGGTAGGTAGTGCATACCTAGGTAGGTCGGCACGCACTTAACTACATAGGTATGCAATTGACAATTGATGTCATCCTATCAAACATGGTATTATAGCTCCGGTCATGAGGACCCCCGGACGCTTGGCTAGCAAAGCGACGGAGGCGGTGCTTCAGATTTGTTACAGGACAGGGGTTCAGCCTTGGGCACGGCCCTCACTCCACAGCGAAGAACCTCCTGGCTCCAATGACTTTAACGACATACCAGGGCTCCCGAGGCCGTGGCCAGCCAATAGCGAATATCGCTGCCTCAAATTCAGGGCGTCAGACAGTTGAGCCCAAGAAAGGGTCTACAGTATACCTGCTTCTGGTATAGCCATGCACCAACTTACCCAGTTCTTCAAACGGGTTTTGTCTTTGGTGTAGGTCAGGTACCGCAGCGTGAAGTGTGTCTAGGTCGGAGGTCTGGATTGTTGCAAAGTCGTTCTCCTCCCTTGCTGCGCTGCGTCGTGACAGGCTAGTCTAGTCCGTTCGCGCCGTGTTGTGTTGTGGTTATCCAGATCTTCCCTCCCTTTCTGTTTCTCCTCCCGCCGCCACTATCTACCTCGCTAGAACATCTCTCAGACCCCAAACCCTCGCTCGCTCTTCAAAGGCGTGGCTTCGCATTTAGCCGTAACCCGTATTCCACTCTCCCGAACGAGGGAACCAGTGTCTACTTTCTCGTCCTCTTGCTCTTCCCCCAGATCTTTGCTTCATGATCTCTTCGCTATTGTGAGCGCGGCCGAGCCCGCCTTTCGTTTCTTCTCTTGTGTTATTCCTCTAGTTTTATCTTTTTTCTCTGTTCCCACTATCCCCTTCGCTTCGTCTAGATCGACGAACGTAGAACCTTAACTTTCGATTTCGGCGACTGGAATCGCCTGTACGCGTTTGCGTGACGATGTCGACCTTCTCTATAACGAGTATAGGTGGGAAAAAGTGCACGGCAGTGCCGAAGGGGCTAGCAGCAGCATCATCATTATCATCACCAACGACAACGACAACGACATCATCAACATCGTCTTCAACAACTTCGACGACAACAACGACAAGTTCCACATCAACATCCATCTCAACGACGTTTTCAACATCCTCGATATTTGTATCAACCCCGGCAACAACTTCCACAGCCGTCGTTAATACACCTATTGTTAATGCTCCGGATTTGGACGTGCCCACAAGCGTTGCACAAGAGACTTTGACTAGTACGACGAGCTTCACGTCTTCCCAGAGTGCTATTCCAATCACTACCTCTATACCCAGCACTACACAAGCAAGCTCTCCTTCAGTGCCTCCATCAATACTTCCATCAGCTCCTTCTACTCTCGAAACCGATAGTGTTTCTACCACCTCCACCCTCGAGCTCTTAACCGCTTCATCTTCTCAGACAATAGATCAAGGCCTGCCCTCAACGATCCAAACTAATAGCAGTTTAGCACCGACACCAACGTCGGATGCGTTTTCCAGCGCATCTAGTTCTGCTTCTGAGATCGCAGCAGCCGGCACGGCAACGACAACGACGACAGGGTCGGGACAGCGTGAATCTTCAGAAGCCGGCGCAGGTTTGACAAATGGTGCCCAGAATACCACCTCGGGGAGTGGAATTAGCACCCAGACAACGGTAGCTGTTGCTGGCGGCGTGATAGGAGGCCTGGCCCTAATCTCCATAATAGCTTTCCTACTCTGGTTTTGGCGGAAGAGGCATATGAAAAAGCGGCGCAGCACACTACTCACGCCTCTATCAACCGGTGCACCCTATCGCGGTGGCGAGAAGGGGCCTTATATCATTAGTCGGAACTCGTTAGGACCGACAACTATCCCAGAGAAGGTAAGAGCTATGGTTGGCTACAATTATCACCGGCTACGCGGACGAGTCAACAGCCTAGTGACGCGCAGCCCGAAACCGAGCGTTGATCTAAACCGCGGAAATTCGCAATACGGACTTCCCGACACACCGGCAACCCGCTCCGCTTCGAGAGCTGACGTAGCTAGCACCGAGGCCATGACAACTAAGGCCAAATTTGTAGATTGGTGGGGACGGCTAACTGAGGACGGCAACTTCAACTGGAAGCTCCGAAGTGACCCTAAGAACGGACGTTCAAACAACGACACATACACTAGCATGCCTAACACAACCCAAGCCAGGAAAAGGGGATCGCAACCTGACTTCCTCACCCTTCTAAGCATGGACGAGAAGCAACAGCAGGGGGCTAGTAGTAATACTGGCGGCGGCAGCAGCAGCAACCCGCGCCGCTCCCAGTCCCTAGGCAGCGATCACTTCCTCGGTGGTCTAGGCCTGAACTTCGACACGGAGAATCCCTTCGCCGACTCCAACGTCATGCGTCACGATTCAGCCAAAGTGATGCCCCTCGCGGTACCAGGGGTAGAGGTCAGTAATCCCTTCTCGGACGCTAACGCCATCCCGGCGCAGCCGAGACTCGCGATCAACACTAGCGCCGGAGCCTTAGGGCCAGCGACCTATGTGCAAAACATCCGGCGCTCGCGCGGCTACAGCGTCAATGCGGCCAGCACGCGGCCGCCGAGCGGCGCCACAGCGAGTCGCATGACGAGTCTATACCGCGAATCCGGCGTGAGCTTCGAGACGGCCGACACGCGGCGGAACAAATTCCGCTCAGACCCGTTCGACCTCGACAGGCCCGAGCTGCTCGCTCAGTCGCCAGGGTCAAGCACGGGCGGCGTAGCAGGGAGCAGCAGCGGTGGTCGAGAAGGCAGGTACAGCAATGGTGCGGCACCGGGCTTGCCGAATATGCCGCGCCCGACCCACGCGCGCGGCGAGAGCTTCACGTCGAAGTACTCGAGTGGCGTGAGTAGCATGGGGGATTGGAGCGATCCGGGCCCCGACGTCGGACCCGCCGCGGGACGATGGGACACGCCGAGCCCGGATGGCGTGTTGGGGCGGCAGGCGCCCCAGAATTCAGCGAGTGTCGAGAGAGGGAGGGCCGGGCCGAAACAGGGGAGTGTTGGAAAAGCGATATGAAAAAAAGAATAACATGTTTCTTTCCTTCATCTTCAATATCCCCCCACATCTACATAACACCTCAATAAGCGGTACTCAGACACGGCGCAACGTATGATCGTATGATCTTGACTTTCCGGCGTTTCCCGGTTCATCTATTCTCATTTCCATTTCCCATCCGGCATGGCATCCGTCGGAAAGAGGAGTCATATAGCTCGGCGCTCGTAGGAGTTTTTTGTTTGTTTTCATAATTTTTTTTTTTTTTTTGGTTTCTCGTTTTATGTCGGCATGGGGATGAAAGGCAAGGAATAACGCCAACACGCTCGTTTACGACACTATACGAATACCCGTCATCCGACATCAGTCACATGGGATGGAAAGCCATTTGCTTTTGTACGAAGGGATGAGGAGGGGCGAATAGGGAAGGGATATTTGCATAGGTCCACAAGGGGGGGATTTCAGGAAAGTAGTGGTGGACAATATTTTCTATTATCTAGTCTAGTGAAAATTGTTACGGTCGTCCCTCTGGCTAGTTGGGATCATCGTAACGGCAAAGATGAAAATAGGGGACGAGGACAGAAGCTTATCGATGTCGTTAGAATTGTCACTATCGGGTTTCAGCCAGAATGAACTGATATCCCCCCGCTCGACGAGCCGCGGAAGGATCTAGCGGGAAGCAGACGATGCATTCGTTTGAGGGAGAGATGTAGGCAACATAACCATACTACTAGAGAAAAACAAAAATGGTCTTGATGAAATGATACTGTCATAGCTCGTGTGTTCGTTCTTCTCACAATGAGCCTTTCATGTAGACATATTGG